TATTTTGCTTCCAAGTCATTTATTTTAAATTTAAGTTTTTTTACTCAAACTTCCCTCTTAAAATTAAGGTGCGTGTTATACGCCTGTGCGTGCTATATGCTGATAAATACGGTACTTAAAACATGGGGTTTTGGGGAAAGAGGGCTTTCCTTGAGGAACAAGGACAAACACCTTTCTGGAATCATGCTAGGTCCTTGAACAAATCTTCCTTGGAATGGGGAGTCTATGTCCCCAGCACTGAACTTAGGAGAAAATACATAAAGTGCTTAATGTTCATCCTCAGTCCTAAACAAACCCAGTAATAATGGGCTGAATAATGGCTCAAAAGTTGGAGACCTGCTATGTATGTATGTATGTATGTATGTATGTATGTATGTATGTATGTATTTATATTTCAAATTTAGTCACTGCCCATCTCACTCAGTGAGTGACTCTGGGCAGTTTACAATAAGTAAGAGTAAAAACCATTAAAATACAATAAAAACAGTAATCAAAAATACATTATATAATCCAAGGGATAGATGGTATAAATAAATTATCGACCTCTGGAAGCATCTTCAGGGTGCTAACCACCCCCAGGATTGGTTACCCCTCCTTGAGCCCCACGTGAACTGGCCAGGTCTTCACTCCTTTCTGGAAGGCCAGGAGAGTGGGGGCCCACCTCACCTCTGGGGGAAGAATGTTCCATAGGGTGGGTGCAACAGCAGAGAAGTCTGTCTTCCTGGGACACACTAAGCGACATTGTTTAATCAACAGAGTCCATAACATACCTTCCCTGCCTGCCCAGGTGGGATGGGTCAATGTAATGGGGATGAGGTAACCTGGTCCCATGCCATGTAGGGCTTTAAAGGTGATGACCAAATTGGACCAGGAAGCAGACTGGCACCCAATGCAGCTCCCACAGCAAAGATGTTACATGTGCCATCCTTGGGGCACCCAAAATTGCCCACACAGCTGCATTCTGAATCAGCTGTAGCTTCCGGATACTTTTCAAGGGTAGCTCCATGTACAGCGCATTGCAATAGTCTATACAGGAGATGAATAGGGCATGAGTGACTGATCAAGAGGGCATGAGTGACTGATGATGAAAAAGATATGCTTTCTTACTGTTTTTCATGAGGAACTTCCTACTGAACTTTTTTCATGAGGAACTTCCTACTGAAATATATTGCAAGAAGTCATGGATTGAATAAAGTCTGATTAAGGTTATCTCACTGACTTGTGAGTGAATATTCATGGGTTTCATTGAGAGTGGAGTGTTGTACTGCTCCCAACTACCCACCATTCTGAAAAGCTGCAAAGATAAAATTATGGTTCTTCCTATGGACTACCAAAGAAAATATCCACCTAGTTCTGTTGGAGTGGGTAATTGCTCATCTTAGGAATATAAAGGCAAGCACATGTTTCTGTGGAACAATATATCTATTTTCCAGAATGGCATCCAGTGGTTATCTGTCAGTGCAGTGGCTACTTCCTTCTCAGTTCTTCTGATGCTTCCCATAAATCTACTCTAGAAGGCAGATATTAGAGGAGTACAAGAAGAAATCCCACTGAGCAAATAGTTGTTGATTGTACATATAAATAGTCTTCATGTAGTCCACAAATACCTGTACTGCAGGTCTCCAGAGCACCCTAGATTAGTTGAACCCAAATGTTCAGTGTTTGGGGAATTGGGGTGGTGGTGTTAAGGCATGAACCCAGCATTTGTTTGTGTGTTTGTTTTGACCTTGACTCTGGCGACATTACCATTCACTAGGTATGTCCCCTGATGTCATAATAATGAAAATAAAATGCCGTTGTCTGTGATATATGAACCATGGGTTAGCAGTTCCTTCTCTTGGAGCTATCCATATCAGTTAATGACTCAGGATTAGACATACAGGTATATATATCAACATTATGCTGCTTTGGTCAGACCCCATCCTGAGTCTTATCTCCAGTTCTGAGCATCACAAAAGAAGGTTAAAGAGAAATAAGAAGAGGTTCCAGGAACAGCAATGAGGAAGACCAGGAAACTAGAAACTAAGTCCTATGAATAAAGATTGAAAGTCTCAGGAAGAGATGACCAAAGGGGATATGATAGCATTCTTCAAATACGTGAAAAGATACCACAAAGAAGGAAGTTAAGCCCTGTTTTGTATCATTCCAGAGTGTAGGACAGAATAATCCAGAATAATGGATTTAAGTTACAGGAAGTCAGATTGTGTTAGAAAAAATTTGGGAAAAAACTTGCTAAGAATAAGAGCAATTTGACAGAAGAACAAATTACTAAGAGAATTGATGGGCTCCACTTCACTGGATGTGTTCATGCAGATGCTAGACAGCCATTGGTTGTGTGTGTGTGGTCATACTCATCACATTATTCACTTTCAGGGAAAGCCAAAGTATATGCAGCACAGAAAAGGAGAAAGAAATACTAAAAAAAAGGAAAAGGAAATATAGCTGAAACTAGTTTACGCCAATTCACTACACCTGTCCTTACCATCCTTGCTTCCACCAAATCCATACACCAAGTCCTGCATTGCTTTTTGTTCTTTAAACTTTGCACCTCTGTCCTTCTGAGGACCTCATCAATTCCATCCAAATAGGACTTCCTCTTCCTCTTCAGAAGTTTGCTCTTCATATATTTGCTTTGTGATTCATTCATTCTCTCGGTATGACCAAACTGTCTCAGTGTACTTCAATAATGGTGATTCACTTTGGTAATCAATCCTTATTTTTTCAGCACCCCTTCATTCTTGACCCTGTCTCTTCTTGTTTTATCACACAGACTTTTGAATACCTACCTCTTTTGCATTTAACTGACCTTTATGTTTTTCCTAACATACACAACTATGCCTCCATATAGTAAATAGGGTTACTATTTACTTCTTCCAACAAATGTTCCTCATAAGAAACCACCACCTATCCAGTACTTTCCATCAGCATTTGCACATTAATTTCCCCATCTATCAAGGAATATAATTCATCTACTTGTTCTAGATTTTTTCCACTTATGCAAAGGTAAAAACACAACTTTTTCCTATCAAACACAACAACCTTGGTCTTTGATACACTAATTTTCTGATACATTCTCCCCATTGCATCATACAATCTATTCACTGCAAATCATTCTGGTTCTCACTAACAACACAGCATCATCTGTGTACAAAAATTCACATATATTCTTGCTCCTGACCCACATGCCTCTAATGTAACTAAAAGCATTCCTTATACATTATTCCATT